CAGACACGTAAATGATCTCGCCCAGCAGCGCCAACGCCTTCAGGCTGAGAACAACGATCTCCTCAAGGCAAGCCTGAATTTCATATAAAAAATTGTTTTCGTATATTTTTGGAAGCATTTCCTTGTTTAGGGCGTAGATTGTACTGACTGTATCGGTATAGATTGATATTTTCTTCATGAGGGCTCCTTGAAACGTTCCTCGCGCTGGAAAAAGGCCAAGTTCAACCCAAACGGCGCCAAAACCTCCACTTCACACTGCGCCTCAGAACAAACAAACGATTTCTGATTACTTGGGAATTCCACTTGAGATTATTTGCCCAATTCAAGGTTTTTGTGCACTTTTGCGTAGGTGCGTGAATTTTCTTGTTTGTGGTGCGTGCGTAAGCGTCGCGTTATCAAAGGGATCACTGTCGTGGTTTGCGACCAATACGCTGAAAGCGACGGTAACTTTTCCGTGACCGGTTCCGCGAATGACGCGATCAGCGACACGCCAGAACAAACACCACACGCGCAGCACTTGAAGAACTGCCACCATCCTCGCCATGCGTATTCACAAACACACGCCTACACACAAAATGTGCTTATCGATCGGGAGTGGGAGATAATTGAAGATTGTTTTCAGGAGGTTCACGATCAGAAGGTGCAGCTCGACAACCTGCAGCATGTCAAGTACACTCTTGCCCAACAGCTTGAGGAAGCCAGACGCCGTTTGGAGGATGCCGAGCGGGTAAGTGGGGAATTCATTTGGTTTTCAGGTCTTGCCATTCAGCACCCTACTGCAGGCCATAAGGCGCCTATATTTAGCCATTTTGAGGGCCTCTGGGTCTTGCTGGGACACCTCCTGCTCCTGCACTGTCGTCGAGATGTTGGGCATCACTTGAGATACGCTACACTTACGGGACACGCGAAAAAACTAGGCTAGTTCTTTGTTTACAGTAGCACCTTATGAAATCGATCGCATCTCGCCGCGTTGTCGCAACATGGATCTCCTGGGCGACTGCTTAAGTGGCCCGGTTACTTTACCTGAGCTGACTACATTTCCAAGCTTGACAGGATCTGAACCTCCGTTGGGTATCCCCACAGTGACCTGCAGTGGGATCTCTGAGAACGAGCTCCTACCTCCCTCCAAGGCTGATTGGAGCAAAAGTACAAATCACATATCCCACTAGCCACTCATAGCATTTATACGGCTCCCTTACGTCATCAAAAGGACCATGGGAGCCCATGAGGGATTAGAGGATTCCCATGAGGTTGATTGTTTTCCCAGATTCTCCTGGGAAAGCCAATTCTTCCTTCACAAACACTCGCCCACGCCCAAGTTGCTGACGTAATCGTAGAAGTTTTGGGATTGGCAATGATGCAGGCTATTTATGGCGCGCTGCAATCGGAGCCAACTATTCTCCCGCATTACTGGGTTTCCATTTTCACACACATTCAGGTCGTAAATCGCTTTCTTAATTGGCACACGAAATACTGGCTAACGTTGCAGCGCCACAAACCGATGCCGAGCCCAATTCGGGGCGAATTTAATTTGCCAACGCCCATTTGGGAGTCGCTAGCCTGGGTGAAGAGGAAGTTGGGGTAAACCCACCGAAGCTAGTAGGTAGGTATTGATGGACATGTAGATATACCGTAGTAGACTCTCCTCTGCCATTTTGGGGTTTAATAGAATTCAGCTATTAGTTTTCTGCTAACGGGGCTCTGTTCCTCCTGATTGGCCGACACAGGCCTTATTTTGGTCTCATCACTCCCCCTTCACTTGACGGGATTCTGCTGAAGCCTATGGGTATCTAATGTTAACCTAAGGCTTCTAAGGAGCTCCTCCATGGGGTTTTTCTTGGGTTAGCAAGCCCTGTTTAGCAAATTTGGCTGTTTGCCCCAGGACCAGCATCCAGGGGGAGTTCCTCCTCGCCCCAAATGACTCAGGTAATTGGTGGATGTTTAGTTCACCGCAACACAGGATGTTTTTGTTTTTCACTTTCAAAATGATGCGTCACATTTAAACCCGGGATAAATACGACGCAAATTATCGCAAATGCAATCATCAATGACGCCAAAAGCCTTCTCCTTAGCATTTTATCAAAGAAATCCTGATTAGCCTATGTGAGCTAATAGCGCGTGTTGACGTAGCGCACCTTAATTGATGACGTGATTTGCGCGCTATTTTTGGCCCTGATGGAAAACCCTGTGTAAATAAATGGGTAGAAAGGGTATTCGGAAGACGAAGAAAAGCATTAGGGGCA